AAGTAAGAGCGGGGAAACATGCAGAGTACTGCACTCCTGAAATCCTGCTCTTGTGAGTATCAAATTTTAACAGACATAATGATTAGTAACAACATTTAAAGTGTATTTCCTTTTTTTGTAGTCAGATTTGAGAAAACCCCTCTATATGTTTGTTATGTGTTCCTATCCGCACAGCACACCGAAACATAATTTTAAAAAGAATGTTTCTTAACTTTTAGATATCTCTGTTGAGTAAGCATTTGGGCAGACTACAATCATCTCTACAATGTCAAAGAGACAGGAAACTCTGACTGTCTCCCCAAAAAGACTACGGGCACTCTGAGCTTTCTCTTAGTAACATACAATGCTTCTAGATCTTTAACCCTTTGTTAGGACAGACCATGTTTAGTTCTAGCTAACAAATGATGATGAGATCTGCCAGCACAGTACAGTCAGGGTTAATTATGGTATATTAGCAGCACTTTTTGTTGTTGTTATGCTATGTGAATGGGAACATGCAACAAATATAATAATTGGTATTCCAATGTTGCTGTAAAAGTAGAAATACAAAGGAAATTATAGAAATCCTTTAGGTTGTAGAAGCTTCCAGCCCAGGACAATGCGACATTTTCAAATACCACTGCAACACCATTGGATAGAAATACTACTATGACAATCCCAGATTTCCAGTTCTACATAGCAATTCTTGATCACTGCTTCCCAGACAGTCAGCTCTTATCTCTGCCCTCTGCTCTGGCTTGTGGACTGTCCCTTGATGTTCTCACACTCTGGACTATGGGCTCTGCATTATTTGTGATGACCTTAGCAGCTTAACATGAGCAGAAGGGGGGGGGGTAGATGCTGTGGGCACCAGGCTTGGAGCCTGCAGGTTGGGGGATCGGGTAAGTAAAATGGGGTTTGGGTTGCCTCTCTGCAAGGATAGTTGTTTTTTTTTTTACCTTTACCTAAAGATAGGCTTTATCTCATGTTAGAACTGTAATTGTACTGTGATACCTCAGAAACTCTATGTAAGCTCCGCTGAGCTGAACATAGCTGCTATGTAGGAGCCTCACTTCCACCTCCTCACTGCATCAGAATGGTGTCTCCAGTTTCAGTGTTGTGCCTCCACCTCCTCCCTCTGCTGGGCCATTCACAAAGCATAGCTGCAATGTTACTACTGTGCTGTGCTTTGTGAATGGCACAGCATGGGTTAAGGGCAGAGGCAGGATACCGGGTTCAGTGTCCTATCATGGACACCCCTTGGTACAATGGGGAGCTGGAAGTGGGGCTCCTGTTGTGCACTCCAGTAGCACTCAGTGAAACTTACAGAAAGCTCGTAAATTAACCACTTCAAGACCAGGTGTTTAGACCCCCTTCCTGGCCAGGCCATTTTTCAGTATTCAGCGCTGCGGTACTTTGACTGACATTTATTCCGTCATGCAACGCTGTACTGAAATGAATTTTATACCATTTTTTGGGGACAGATAGAGCTTTATTTTGGTGGTATTTAATCACCACTGGTGCGCGCGCCCAGCGTTTTTTTACTACGGCCCGGAAGTGGTTAAGGGAAAAACAATTATGGTTTTAATGTGTTAAGAATATATGAAAGCTTTACAAAAAAAGTTTTAAAAAAATCTGTGCCCTGAGTTGAGTTTTAATATGTTGACGTAATTTAAAAGTTGTATGCAATCTGTCTGCAGCTTTAATTAAAATAATACCTGGCAATCCTGCCATGGAAGTCCCTGTTCAGGTACTTCCTGTTATAACATGATATATATCTCTGAATTATGATGTTGCGATGTCTCGTGTTCATGGTGGAGACTTCAAGCAGCCATGCAGCCATGCTCATGTAGGCATTGTCCACCGTTGTCACTATCAGGAAGCCAGTTCAGGGCAACAGTGTGCAATTGATGCTGGTAAGTCAACAAGTGGCTGAAAGAGGCAGGAGTAGATCAGTTTGGGAAAACTCCATGGCAGTTGTTTGATACACAGTGCTTTATCAAACTAAATATTCAGTTAGGGTTTAGATCTATTTTAATTACTTTTTGAGATAATATTGGATTGAATAGAGATTTTTGTTGTTATACTGTATAAACATACGGGGGTGTATTTACTAAAGGCAAATAGGCTGTTCACTTTGCAAGGAGATTTTCCCTTAGTTTAGTGAATGAGGTGAAACTCTGCTGACTTCCATCATTCAATCATGTGCCAGTAAAAATACAGGTTTTTGTATAAATATATATATATTTTTTTCTTTTTCCTTGGGTATTCTTTGCGAAGTGCATTTTCACCACATCCACTGAGGTACGTGAAAATACCAATGCAAAGTGAACAGCCTATTGGCCTATAGAAAATCAACCACACAGCATTCAAATTTTATGTTACCTATAGACACTAGAAGACAGTTGGCCATGAATGATCTGGCCATGGAACAATTGTTGTACAAATGTGCATGTTTGCACCGGGGAGCATGTAGAGCGCCGGTTTGTCGTGGAGCGGGTAATCTATAGCAATCACCTGCATATATGCCATCCCGGGCAAATGATTTTTACCGTAAGCAGGTTTGACCATAAAATATAAGAGGCTTACAGAGTTGATGTTCTCATTTCTGTAGACACCTTTAGAGCTGGCACAGTAATGATGGTGTTTCCAGATGCTCACTATGAGCATCAGCCTTGCACCCTAGCGACTTCCTGTCTGAAAGTGTTGTCTCTCACCCATGACAACTATATCCCCCCTTCTTTACTCTGACAATAGGCATCTGGTTGCTGGGGGTAACAAAGAAAGTTTATCTCCCAACCCTTCACATTTGATCCTCAGTGACAGAAATAAGCCCTTCCTTGCTCCCGCTTCTACAAAAGCCTGGCGTGAAAATCCAATTTTTTTCCCCTCAAATACGGGATGAAAAGGGTCCCAGTTGCCCTGGCAACAGATTTATTTATTAGAAGATAGGAGTAAAATTAGCTAATATACCACATACCTGCACATCGACAAACTCCTATTTCAGCTTTAGTTGACAATTAAGTCCTGGACAGCTACAGCCAGGGGTTAATGTTACTCATTAGGAGAACTGGGTCATTACGGGGAAATCAAACTACTTACTGGAGGCTGGAGAAAATGCAAAATTCAGCATCTCAACTAGCGGGATTTTTATGTTAATTAACCTCCCTTCCCTCGATTTTACATACACATAAATATATCCATCTATACATGCAGGGCTGCACATCAGTTAATTAAAAAAAAAGGAGAAGTTTACTTCTCTCGTTATTTTTTTTTGCACTTGTCTTTGAAATGGTTTCATTATTTCATAGCAAATGCTTGTGTCTATATGATGAGCAAAACGGGTATTAAAATTAAGAAGAGGCACATCATGGAAATCAGTTTGATCACAGGGGAACGAGCAAATAAAGCTGAGGAAATGGAAATAAATAAGCTTTGCTAATACCTCACCTAAGGAGTGCAATCTAAGCCCGGCAGAGCCGGAGAATTTAGAGGTGTTTTGTGTGCATGAGTGTTTGTACACGACTTGACCTTCACCAACTGCAAGTTTTTCAAGAACTTTGCGGAACTTTTTGTTTGTTATTTTTATTATCCTGCGCTCAAGGTGACTTTTCATAACTTTTAATTACAGCAGCGGGCGTTGAAGGATATGTTCCAAGACCAACTAAGGACGTTTTTGTATGCTGTTAAATATCGCCACCTGAATGCTACTACTAAATTAGATTGAAGACCTAAAATAAATTGCTTAAAGGAGAATTCACTTAGGCCAAAACTACAGAGATATGCACTGCCTGGCTAGAAAAAGAAGTCACACACTCTAAGGCCTCATTCACACCAGACAGTGCGTTCCAGCAAGAACGCACTGCATCACAGTGGCCGGCTCACTATGTTGTTGGGCAGGAGGGGACGTTGCGGTCCATTGAAGTGAATAGCACTGGAGCCACGCCCTCCGGCCGCAATGCGATCGGCCTCATGGGAACGCAAAGCACATTAAGCCTGCGGTCTGGTCCGATCAAAATGCTGCAAGCACTATTTTAATCGGACCGGAACACAGGCATAATGTGCCTTGCGTTCCCATGCGGCCAATGCCGTTCACTTCAATGGACCGCCACGTCCCCTCATGGCGGTCCATTGAGCGAGCACTTAACCGTTGCAGTGCTGGGCTAGCTCCACTGCAAGGGTTAGCAATACATGTTCCTGGAGTTCTTCTTTAAAGGATGGTTTAGTCATGTTGATTTTAAAGGAAGTGTTCCTTCTGCTGAACCAGCCATTATATTGAGCAATTGTATTGTTGCATGTATGGCCAGCATTACAGTCCTCTATAGAAAACTACCACTGAGAGATGCCAACAGTAAAAGGCATTAACGGTTCACCAAATTGTACCTGTTGCGTAGAGTTGCCCTTTAAAATCCAGTTCTGCAGTTGTCTTCCCACTTTAAGATCGGAGACTGATCTCCCCACCCCTGGCCACATCTGTCTAACAAGGATCGTATTCACTCTTATTCCTTTGAACTAGAACTGCGAGCAACTCTCCAGTTATAGTTAAAGCTACAAAGTGGATATTGCACATCTATGATTGTTATTCCTTAAAACTGCGTTTAAAACTCTTTTTCCTTTTAACATCTCTGAAACTGCAAACAGTAGCCGAGAGCAACACAAAGCCAAGTGCCTGGGTGTCCACTGCGGATCTGAGTGCGGTTATTACCTGGAGAGAAATTTCCTGTGAACATGGAAACAAGCCTTATAAGATCTGGGCAGTAGCTGAGATGGCAGTGTGAACTCTGACAGACACGATGGGAAACCTTAATTGTGTAATGATCAAAAGAAAATGGCTCCCAGCTATAGAACACTTAGAACCCTCTCCACAGTCTTTCAGAGCATAGCCAGGGCCACAGGGCAAAGCATTAAATGTTTCTGCAATACCTCCAGCCCCCAAAACCAAAATATGATATCCTTAGAACAAAACCTCATGTCTCTGGTGGGTTTTCCTAAGTAAACATGTTTTCTTCTTTGTTTTTGAGGGAGCATGATAAAGACCCGGAGACCTTCTTTAAAGTCCTGAGGAAACTTAAAGAGATGGAGCTGCCTTTCTCGGTGTCGGTGCTCGGGGAAATGTTTACTGATGTTCCAGGTATCTGCTTTTTTTAATGATTGTTTTCTACAGTTTAACAATATATATCTTTTTTTTTCTTCTAAATGTGGTTTGCTACTGTTGAACTAATCCTTAGAATGTTCAGGGTCCCCGAGGTAACTGGTGGAAGACTCCTCAGTGTTGAAATATCTCGTTCTCCAGTTTGAAACAAGTTATAATAACTTCTAATTTTAATTTAAGAATGTGTATCTCTGGAACCTGTGGGGCTGACTCTTGGACAGGAAATGTACCTTCTGTATCCATTTTAACACATGACATTTCTTTATCCTTCAGCCAATGAATTGTATAGATTAAGGGCTGTCAGGAAGGAAGGAGTGGAGAGCCGGAACAATAGCTTCAAGGGAACCTATATGCAGGGCCAGTTTTTAACTAATTGGGGCCCTGGGCATGAATCAGATTGGGGTCCCCCTATGGCCGGAATAATGCAGCCCTTCTGACACTACCCATTTCATAGGGTACAGAGTTCTCTTCTCCTTTGCGTCTTTCTACCTTTCTGATTTAATTGACCTAACAAAATATTTGCAAGAGCTTATTGAGTTAGAATTGTAATACAATTTGGAATACTTCGCCATGAGAGTTTTTCAAGATCCAAGGAGAGGAGAGACGTAGCACTTATCAGTGGGAAACAAAAAAGTGGTGGCAAGTTGGTGAAGAGACGTATATACGGTGACACAGGAGTAATCAAAAAGCATGTTATACCTTCCATTATTTAGAGGTCACATCAGACTGGTGAGTTCAGAGTGAATCCGGACGGTGGTAGAATTAATGAAAGTACAAAAAGGAAGTGGAGTGTTTATTTACTGAAGAGTGTAAAGCAATTAAATTGGATTGTCACTGTATATTTTTTGCATATATTTTCTATTTCTCATTTGCATATATTGTGTGGAGCAGGTGGTGGTTATTAACCAGGGGTCCCCAAGTTTTCAAACAAAGGGCCAGTACACTGTCTTTCACACTGTTTGAGGTTCGGGCTGTGGTCATTGGGAGTAAGAATGCCCCTTCATCAGCCGGAATAGAAAATGCCCCTGCATCAGTGGGTGTAAAAAATGCCCTTAAATTCGGGGAGTTCAACGGGTGCTCTTGCATCAATGGTCAGTAGGAGTAAAAAATGTGCCTTTGTTAGTGGTCAGTGGTAGCAATAAATAGCCCTACATCGGTTGTCAGTGGAAGAAAAAAAATACCTATACACCAGTGGCCATTGAAATTCATAAATGCCCTGAAGTCAGTGTCCAGTAGGAGTAATAAATCTCTCTACCTTCAGTGTCCGTGAAAAACACTGACCATGTCAGTGGTGTAAATGGTGCCCCTGTGTCAGTGGAATGAATGGTGTCCCTGTGTCAGTGGGACAAATGGTGCTCCACTGTCAGTGGGATAAATGGTGCCCCTGCGTCAATGGGACAAATGGTACCCCATTATTGGTCTTCAGTGGTCACTTACCTGATTGGGTCCATGCCCCACGTTCCTCCTCATAGTGATGTCATAATCAGGTCTTCACAGGCACCATCGGGAAGGGGATTTCTCTGCAATCCAGGACCCAGCATCTGCTGCCACTCTGCAAACAGTAGCTCCCACCATCCAGCTTCCAGCAAGAAAATTCTGCGTGCAGGGCCCATTCATTGCAGGGGCATTGGGGACCGCTACTATAATTGAAAGGACACATAGGAAGGGGAGTACTAATTTGGTAATAAGTGGGAAGAAACATATAAGAGGAAACAGACTGGTGTTTTTATAATTTTGCCCTAAAATGGTCAATGTAGGCCACATTCTCAGCTAAAGGTCAGGTCAGATGTTGAAGGAGGTACCTCTAGAAGCAGCCTTATCTTCCATGTAGAAGAGAGGGCTAAAATGTACGGGCACTAGGTGTAGCAGTGCATCTAATATTGATTTGATATGTTTGATATGATTTGATAGATTGGCATTGTATATTTACTGTAGTGAAGGCTTCACAATATGCATTTTACCAACACCAGACAACATACAGCTGAACACACACCACTTTAAGTCCCAGGCTTTATTTGATTTCAGCCCCATATTTTGCTTATAGAGCCATGACTTTGTTCAGCAACTTTTGTTTGTGTTGGTGGCCATCTGCAAGTCCTCCAGAACAAACATAATGTATAATCCCCACAATACCTGAACCTTTACTCACTGCTGTAACCTCCATGGATTCCCCATTGGCCTAAGACAAAGCAGGGGCGTGAGATTTACTTCAGCTGTGCTGGGAACGCCCTGAAAATCTTCAGGTAAAACATGAGCCTATGACAAGTCCTAAACTAGCTTGGCTTGCCCGCTCTCCTGCCTCCATGACCTTCAGTTCTGTCAGCCAATGGGAGATGAGGCAAAGTATAATAAACTGACTTGCAATGTCCGGGTTCTTTAGTGTTTTGTGCAGACTCAGTCTAATTACATTGAGCCCCCTTTTATTTAATCTAAATGGTTAGTGTGAATGATTGATCACTTGTCCACTCTTTGCTTGACTGTTGACCTGCAGATCTGAAAGGATTGTGCGCTGCCTGATTTGACACGCTTTCTCATTGTTTTGTCTTCTTTCTGCCAATAATTATTCAGTGGCTGTGGCTGAAATCTGTGGTTCTCCAAAACACTGCTGGGTTCTGCAGGTTGCTTTAGCCCGATCTAGGGCGACGGATCCTTTGAAACTTTGTTGTTTTTTTTCTTTTTGGAGTCATGCTGGACTCTTCAATATGGATTTTAAAGCGCAATTCCAGGCAACGTGTAAAATCACTCAGCTATTGTTATCCAGATTACATAGCAGCTGTGCCAGTCAGATCATCTTCTCAATTTTCCTAAATCTGAATGAAATTCGGTGCATCTAGGTTCATCAGTTTTCCTTCGTTAACATACATTTCCTCCATCTGTGTAGGACTACTTATTCTTGCTACATGATCCTGTACTGCCTTGTCATCCTTTCATGTTCCAGCAAAACTTTTATAAGGCTTTATAGAGAGGAACTAGGAGAAAGAGTGCTGGAACCAGCAGACATAATAGTCTACATCAGGGCTCAAAATTTTAAGTCCTGAGCTACTATCCAGGCCTTAAAAGTTACTAGCCACCAGTTGCCCCACCTAACCATTACCCTGCCCCGGCCTTAATTCCACCCCTAAACACACCCTCTTAAATAATCTTATGATAATTATTATCTTATGATAGTTGCCGCTTGTAAACGGCAGATTAGGGATTCCTGCTGCAGGAAAACGCAAGTTCCTGACACAGGAATTTCTAATCGCACCTGAAACATACTGTAGGTGTGAATGGGGCCTAATATACACATACACTAAAAGTGTCCATACACCTGCCGATTATCGTACGATAATCGCGGGTGATCCCGCTATCGTACGATAATTGGCAGGTGTATGGGCAGCGTGCGACCGCTTCTACTGTAAGGTCGTACGACTTTCGTCTTCCAAGCACGCTGGAAAACCTGCCGAAAATCGTACGATTTTTGGCGGGTTGGTGGCGTGGTCGGAAGACAAAAGCTGCACGGGCCGGTGTGCGCAAGCGCACACTGCGGGGAGGGCTTGCATTGATCGCAAGTACGATCTGCCTGTCCAAGATGGGCAAATCGTACGAGATTTTAATGACCTTACATCCATCACACAATGAAAGTCGTGCGATGGTTGTAAGTTGTATGGGCAGCTTAATAATTAATTCCCCCCAGATAACCAGGGATCGATCCATCCTTTCTTTTGGCCGGAGCTCAGAACTGTCAGAGCTCCGGCCGAAGGAAGCCAGAGCTGACAGGAGCAGCTCTGCAGTCTGCATCCGACACAGATGCAGACCGTGGAGCTGCTCCCGCAAGTCAGGTACGCGGTCTGCCCGCGGACCGGTACTTGGAGACCGAAATTTCCACTCGCCCTCACTTTATTTTTACTCGCCAAATGCGAGCAGGCAAGTAGAAATTTTGAGCCCTGGTCTACATGGTCAGTGACAGATTCAATGCTATAACAAAGGTGAGGCTGTTGTTAACTTTAAAGTGACGCTAAACTCAAGAGTCAGGGCTCCCCCCTGCGTTATGGGGGTGGGAGGGGGCGTGGCAGTGCATTGAACTCAATGGCACCGCAGCCACACACCCCTGCAGTGCGATCGACCGCACTAGAACGCGGGCACAACAATGCCTGAGTTCCGGTCCATGCTGACAGCACTGAAATGCGATCTGCAACGCAGGCACTGATATGCCACACGTTCTGGTGCAGGCGATCACACTGTGGCCGGGGTGGTGTGGCTGTGGTGCCACTGACTTCAATGCACCGCCACCTCCCACCCCAGAAAGCAGGGGGGAGTTTACTATGCGATACAGTGCGTTCCAGCAGCTAGCCGCGCTGAGACGCACTGTATATGGTGTGAACAAGCCCTCAAATCCTACAAATCATTCAATTACCTTAACTAACAAAAATGTATCATTTGTGAATCACTCGGCTGTAGATCCTCAAATCATCTCTCAATTGGTGCTGACACTGTCCTTTCTTCTGGAGGCTACTTTCGGTCCCCATGGTCCCTGTGTGTGCTGTAAAGTAGCCAGCGCTCCATGCTCGCTTCTGTGATATAATACAATCTTAATACAAATTAGTAGGGATTAGGGATACACCGATACCAATACTAGTATCAGTATCTGTGCCGATGCTGAGTAAATGCTCCGATGCCTAGTCTCATACCGGAACTGCATGCTCCCTCGTGATGAGGGAGCATGGAGCAGGCGCTTCCCAGCCAGTCAGGAAGTCGGGCAGCGTGTAATGACTCGCTGCCCCGCTTCCTGATTGGTCGGAAAGCTGGCCAATCAGGAAGCCGGGCGGCGCCCGGCTTTCTGATTGGCTGGGAAGCCGGCTTCTTGCTCCCTGGTCACCTCATGACGAGGGAACATGGAGACGGCTTCCCGGCCAATCAGGAAGCCGGGTGCCGCAACATTACACGCAGCCCGGCTTCCTGATTGTCTAGAAAGCCAGCTCCATGCTTTCTCGTCACCT